CCCCAAAACCCCAAAACCCCAAAACCCCAAAAATCCGTAAAAAATAGAAACCCCCATTTTCTAATAAAATAAACTCCACTTCCAAATGCACCCTCTACCTTCCAAATCCCCTTATCCACCCATCCTTCCAACTTTCTCGATCACTTCTCCTTCCCAAAACCCTCTCTTCACTTCCCAAGCCAGGCTCCCAAAATCTTCTTCCTGTCAGGCCAGGCCCAGCCAAGGAAGGATGGACTTTAGCAACAAAATAATTAAGGAAAGGAGACAGTCAAGAGAGACACCCAAATTTCCTCGTAAGCTAGCTTTGAAGATGAAGGTTTGATTACGATATAGATAAGAAGTCTACTGTCAGAAAATCACTAAGCTTGCTTGCAAAGAAGGCATATAGAGTCCATCGTAAAGCTCTGCCACCAATTATTACTAAAGAAGGACTTAAAAACTATAAGAGTCATTTATATAATCTTGATCAAGACTTCGAAGATTTCCTCAAAAATGGTCATATTTCCTTTCTAAAGAATATTAATAAGTCCTTTGAACCTTACAAGAATACCAAATCATTGATGTGCGACCAAGTCTATCTGAAGAATTGAGGTAAATTTATCCCAATCCATTCGTATTACCCAATCAACCAACAATAATCCATCATTTTCCAAACACACCCATCTAAAATACCCAAATTCCACCATACCAAATCCTCTCCAATACCTCTCTCTTCTAAAACCCACCCTAAAATCCCAACTCTACAAAAAAATCCTAAAAAATTCCAAACTCCCACAACCCCTCCTCTTTCACCCTTCACCTCTAAACTTCCCAATTTCCACACATTTACACTAACAGCCAAGCCTACCACCTAATTTCGAAATCTCAGTGGCTCCTGCACCTTTATGAATCTCTAGCATGAGGGCAGTGGGGGTAGCAGGAGAGTTTTGGGGGTGGGCTTGGGTGGAATAGGGGTTTTGGGGGGTGAGGTGGGCATTGAGGAGGTGGTGGGATAGAGAAAAGAGGAATTTGAGAGGGGTTGTTGCTTCTCTTGTGGTTGATAGGTGTGGAGGCGGAGAAGGGATCGTATGGGGGTACTGGGGTTGGAGATTTTGGTTTTTTTGGTAGGGTCGATTTTTTTGGATTTTTTGACGAGGTGTTTGTGTTATTGGGAAATCTAATCAAATTTTTAGACAAGAAAATGAAGCAAAACTTTATAAAAGTCACTAAAATTAGTGAAAAGAAAGATTCTGATATCCAGGATAGGCTCCAGACTGTTTCCAGAAATTCTCTATCTCTAAATAGTCAGGTAAAAATTAAATTAAAATGTTTCTAATCTTACCTGTAGATAATAAACCCTATCAAAGAGGTTAAATTAATTCGTACTTTATCAACTTTCAAGAATCTAAAAAATCATGACATTGAGGACTTCCCAAACATCTTTAAGCAAGGTATGGAGACCTATATAGATACTTTTTACTTCAAGAAAACCTGTCCCTATATTCTAAACCTAATCCCTTTCCTTTACTCAGAACCAATCATCATATTTCGTTAATTATTATCTCCAACCCCATAATTCTCATATCCAAAGCCAGAACAAATTTACTAAGATATTTTCTAAACCTAAAGCTTCTCTTAAAGACAAAAGAGGTTCTTTATACCTCCAGTTAGTGTTTTACATCTTAATATGAGCAATGGAGCTTCCAAAGTTCTATTTCGTGCCTTCCGCCATAATTAGAAAATGATAGCTTAAGTTGCTACTAAAAATCCTAAAAATTCGTCGAAATACTATAACCTTTTGGTGTCTCATTCGATCAATAGCTACAACCAGAAGTGCAATCTGAAGCTCTAAGCCTACTCTGAAGACAAATAGGGATCTGATCAAAGATTTGAAAAGATGGGAAGCTTACCAAGGCGGAAATAAACCAAGAGTAACGAACCATAAAAAGACTCATAGTAATGTTAATAACGCAGGGTCTGATAATATTCAAAAACGAAAAGATGGAACTTTATACTTAAAATCCATAAATTTCGCAAGATCTTTCACTCCCTCGCAGGCTTAAGGAAAGAAGATGCTTTATATTTTAATTCATCCTAAATGTTTTGAATATAAGCTAGTTGGGATTACAGAGTGTCACTTGATTTTCAATTTAACTTTACATTTGAAATATTTAAAACAGGAACTAAAAGTCTTGAAAAGTGTTCTGGAACAAGGAATATATAAAATCCCTTTCAATTAGAATCATTGCTACAGGGGTTTTGGGGTTTTGGGGTTTTGGGGTTTTGGGG